AATCATTAGTTTAAAAGATATTTAACAAAATATGTTTATTTTTTAAACCATAAGTTTTTTGCTATATGGACCTCAATATTTTTTTATTATAATTAAAGTTTTTGTAAAATTTACAATTTGCTTGTGAAATTGTTTTTCAGTTTGATGAATTTGATGTTATTTCGATAAATTTGTGAAATTCTCAAAAGTTTCTTTAGCAAGCTTCTGTCGTATTATATTCTCCTAATACAAAATCGAGAATTGAGACAAGAAATTTTTGCTTCTGACTTTTTAGATAATTTTCGTATGCCACCTTTTGTCGATTCTTGTTCTCCTAATACAAAGTCGAAATTTTAGAATGAAGCTCTCCACATTTAGAATTTTTTTTATTTGGAGAATATATTGGTAGATGAGGTGCCATTTGAAATTTTTTTGAAATTTAATGTACTTACCTGATACTTACCTTATACTTACCTTTATACTTACCTCTTTAAGCTGGCATATTAGTTTATTTGTCATTTTTTCATCATTTTACTTAATTCTAATTAGAATAACTAATATTTACTCTTTTATACTTACCTTTTACATATTTATGGTTTTTATGGTGATATGTTTTTTGGAATTAAAAGAAAATTGGAAAATATTAAAAGAAAAGTACTGAAACTTGATATACTTACCTTTTTTATGTCTATATCTATTTATTTATTTTCATAGAAGAAATGCATTTGTACTTACGTATTTTTTGAAAGCAAGCAGAATCGAATAATAATCTCAAAACGGCACATTTCTTAAAACGATCATAATTCGTATCACGATCAACAACTAACTGTTAACGGTTCACTATAAAATATAACTAGCTCTGTTATCTATGGTGCATAGATTTAGACCAAAGAGACCGATTTTATCAGGTAATTTATGTGAGTTGGATAATATATTACTGATACGATATATCGGAAGTAAAGATACCATGCGAAACCATAGATTGTATTTAGATACTATTTAAACTTACTTAATTTATATTTTAATAATTGTCCAATAATTTTCACACCAAAATTATGTGTAAAATGCTAAAAAGAAGATATTTGAGATTAAAAATTGAACATTTTATTATTATCCATACGTATAATAGAATTTATTATTCAGTTATATTATTTTATTTGACAAAAAATTATCGTTTACTCCGATTTACCATAGAAATTACGTTACTTATTGATTATATCAATTTCGTTAAAATTATCTCCAATGATAATTTTTTGAGAAACACAACAATCTTCACATTTCTGGAGATTCGTTTCAAGATTTATCTGATTTATCTGAAAATTGCATAATTAGCTATCTCTCGAACACGTTGCGGCACGTTGTAGTGCGTACTGCTCCCGTTTTTATCCGCCTTTCAAAATGTCGAACGATAGAAGTTGATTGCACGTGAAAAGAAAATACGTTTCAAGAATTTCTGGGTTAACTGTTTATTCGTTCGTGGTTAACAGTGGGCAAGTTTTTTTTCGAAGAACTTTAGCTGCACCTGTTTATTGCTCGTTGAGATTCGATGTTGAAATCGCGTTTCGTCTGTGGAATTAAAAGTGAACGATATTTTAAGTAGTTTCGAGTTGGGACAAGTAGAAGTAAGATTGATTAATAATTAGTTGAAAATATCTATCAAAAGATACTTGGAAAATTTTTATAAATAAATTACTTTATTCATTTAACATTCCTGTATAACGAAAGAGATAGTAATTTAGATAATATCCAGAAAATTTTTTAAATTATAGAAATATATTAATTATATTATATGTATTGATATTGAAAAAATAATTTAAAAGTAATGAATATTTCTTGTTATGAAAGTGTTCTGCTATGTAAAATAATTTATTAGTTACTTTAAATTCATCAAATTTTATTAAATAATATTAATTCAATTAATGCGTTGGGACAAGTAGAAGAAAAATTGATTAATAATTAGTTGCAAATATCTATCAAAAAATACTTGGAAAATTTTTATAAATAAATTACTTTATACATTTAATTCCTGTATAACGAAAGAGATAGTAATTTAGATAATATCCAAAAAATTTTTTAAATTATAGAAATATATTAATTATATTATATGTATTGATATTGAAAAAATAATTTAAAAGTAATGAATATTGCTATGAAAGTGTTCTGCTATGTAAAATAATTTATTAGTTACTTTAAATTCATCAAATTTTATTAAATAATATTAATTCAATTGAAAGAAAGTATCTAAATACTTGTGTATTTATTAAATATTACGTATACTTATATGTGTTAAATATATAATAGAAATTTCATTAATTTTCATCGCACGAGCTATCTATCTACGTTAGCATCAAATAAAAATTTCAACGGGAAAAAGATAAGGAAAAAAAGAATCCTCGACGCGCAATGCGAAATCGATCGAAACCGCCTGGAATCCCAATTGCATTTCCTTTGTATTTTTCCGATTCAAATTTCGATTAAAATTCATGAACGTTAGCGATAGAAGCCGCAAGAACACCGATATCGATTGCACAACGCGTTTGAAACTTTTCTGAAGTACCGAAACGTGTCTCGTATGTTAATTTTTGATATTGTGCAAATATTTGTCGCGAAGAAACACGAAGTGTAGGATGTGTAAAATTGTTCGATAAAAAAAATTCGGTATATTGCACCTATACATCCTATAACCAAGAAAAATTTATCTTCAATAAATCCACATACTGTAATTTACATGTTAATTTAAATGTTCATTCCAAAAAAATATATTAATAACTCCTCCACAACTTCTTAAGAAAAAAAAAAAATTTTTCTTTTCAAACAACAAGATACTTTCACAACTTTCCATCCAACAACAACAACAACTTTTACTCCGGCCAATTCACCGCGAATAACACAAAAAATCACCAATGTTTCATTCACAATATTAAAACCGAGAGTTACATATATCCCCGCACCGCGGAACAAAGAAAATCAAACGCATCAAAATTTACCTCTACCAGGAAGTTCTTCGTTGGTCGGAAGTTAAAATTCGCTCCTCGATCCCCCCCTTGACCACGAAACTTTCTCGCCGGCCACGAAACTCGATCGCTTTCTTGCTATCCAAAATTATATCCTCGTTCGAATTCCAACTCCAACTTCTCTCCTCTTCTTCGATTCGTTACGTTCTCGTTCACACAAAGAGATAGAGAGAGAGAGAGAGAGAGAGAAACGAGGGAGGAAGAACGTCGGGCAGTGCAAATATACAAACGCTACTCCTTAAAAATAACCAGTCGCAGGCCAGGTTCGCGAGTATCTTGAACTTTTCCCCGCTAATCCTAAAAATAGTAAAAGGCCATACGTCGAAAGTCGTATCCACGCCGCCGCTTATCGCGTTTTCCATTCACGGAAATCGCATACACGGCGTAAGTGCATTTCCATGGCGGAGAGGATGGTCGTAAACCTTGGTTCACCTCAAGGTTGGCACCGAGGTGCGAATTATCGCTCCACGGTTAAATTGCCCGTTGATTTTTCCAATCTCCACGGTGTAGAAGGGATCCGAGGAGTGGTGGTGCCTATCTTGTTACGGTCGCACGTGCATCGGTTCGTAAGGGTCGGCGGGACAAACTGGTGGAATTATAGGTGTCGGCCAAGTTCGCGGGTGCACGGAGTCGCGGAAATTACGAGGACGATGCAAAATACGACTCGGGCTTCTCTTTCGTTCGACCGTGACCCATAAATCCGCCACGAGTGTCGGCTGACACGGGCGTTTTTCTTTTTTCTTTTTTTTCTTTTTTTTTGAGAGTCTTTTCTCGTTGAGAGACTCATGGTTGGATGGTTTTCGTTTTGCATGAAATTTTGCTAATAAAGGTAAGAAAATTGTTGCAATGGCAAATGTGCATTTTGGGAGAAAAGGGTGATGAAAGGTGTGTACGTCGAGCGTGTTAGATTTTTTGTAAAATTGAATAAATTCTTTTGAATAACAGCTTGGTGATTTGATGAATGAATTTTTGTTTGGAGTATCGATGCTTTTGATAAAAATGGAAAATATGGAAGATTTAATGCATTTTAAATTTAGAATAATTCAATGGCTAGAGTTTGTGTAGAGGGAGAGACAATTTTAAAATTGAAAGAATTATTTAAAACGAAGATAATGATATTCTTCGGCAAATATAAGCAAAGGGAAAAATTAAAGGGAATAAATTTAACAATGAACAATCATTGACAACAAATACAAAATAACATCACAGGTTTAATGCCGAAGTATTAAGCGATTAGTCATACGCGTAGCATGAGAAAGTGGGTCAAATAAAACGGGCTATAGGCTATAGTATGCAAGTTCCTGATTTTATGGCGAACGACAAGAGTAATTATTCATACTACTCCAATCGCTAATGGCAATGAAGTGCTGTCGTTAGAAGACCCTCGTCTTCTATGGATAATTATCTTCGAAGCTTCACTTAAGATTTAACACCTTGGTGAGTAATGGCGTGGATCTCTATGGTTCCCTTCTTCGTGTTAAAACTGAGAATAATTTCGCACGATATCGTAACAATTTGTGAATTGTAATATTTTTCATAAATTTTTTTTTTTTTTTTACTTTTGAATCGTACAAGTTTTTTTTTTCTATCTTCTACAATGACGATCAACAAAATTTGAATATGTTCCTTTATTTACATGATTTTTGATTAATTTTTTCCCCTCTTTCTCTTTTTTAAATTTAATAAGTCATAACAAAATCTCTGTTAAACATCTAATCAGATTTTCAAATATTTAGATGTTAAAATTTCAATTAATGAAGTGAATTTATAATCATTCGCGATGGTAATTCATCTTTTAACAACGTTTATATATATCTAATTGAACTTTTAATTATTTGTAATTAACAAGTTTCATTGAATTTTATATCAGCACGCTATTACATCACGCTTTCGTACGAATGGAAAACTGTAATTAAGATGAATCCAATTTTAAACTTGCTATATTTATCTTATGAAATTAAATTAAATAAATAAATTAACGATTACTTATAAATATTCTATGCAACAACGATCCAAATCTATCTCTACTTCGTACGATGTAGTAGCAAAATTTCGATCGCAAATTAACAATTCGAAAATAATATATATTTATCTTTCTATCTATCATTTCTTTACAGAAAAAAAATACATTTATTCGAGAAACAAGAAACACATGTTATTACAAGCATGTACTTGCTTGCTTCTATTGCACATCGTGGTAATTAAACCTTCTTAAACAATATTCTCGCGTGAACAAGCATTCCACTCGCATGTGAGATCACGACCTCGACTTGGCAATGACATTTCATTCAAAGATCTCGAAATTTTTTTAACATTTCCACAGGTCTAATTACTAACGAAAGATCGTATCTTCATTGAAATGAAGGCGATACGAGCGCGGAAGTCGCGTGACTTAACGAACAACACAGTTTGATAAATTGGCATTTGGTGACGTGAGGATAGATTAACGTGTACAAACTGAAGAATTAATTATTTGGAATTGTCGCGATTAATTAGAAATTCGGAAAGACGTGGAAGATGTAAAAATTAATTGGTAAAATTAATTTTGGGCGGGACGGTGTGAAATATTGTCGTTGAGTTTGTACAAGTTTACGTTAATTATGTAAGAAATGGTTGTGTAATGGATGGAGAATCGTTGGAACAGGTGTTCTCTCTAGTTGAGAAATATCTTGTTTCTTGAATTTTCGTCGGGGAATTAATTTAAAAGGACGTCTCGAATAATTGCTCGATGATTCGTTACATTCGTCATGAAATAAATGTTGAAGATTCTGATGATGATATTTTTAAATATATTGAATCAAAAGGAATTTAATTTTATTTTTTTTTTGGTAATATCTAGTTTATTTTTAACATTTAAAATAAGATTTTATTGCTCTTATATTTTATATTTTATTCTAAATTAAAATTGTATAAATCATATATTTAATCGAAGAATCGTCTAACTTATTTATATAAGTATTGTACAAATATTTATTTTATATATTTGTTTACAAATATTACTAAACCTCTTTTTAAAAAAGTAATACATCTATGATTTAAAATTTATCTTCTATATATATTGTATCTTCAAAGTTCATTCATTTCCACGAATATTTAAGTGAAAATAGAAATAAACAAACAAGGAGATGATTATCAAGTACCAAACACCAGATATTATTGCAATAAAAAAAAGGCATTCAAGCTGAATAAGATCTTTTTGCATACCTAAAAAGCCATCCTACAATCAACATTCTCCACGTACTACCACTTTTATCGATCTCCACTCCATCCGCATCAAGATATCATCACGTTCTCCTTACCGCAATCGACCCTTCAAAAACGATCCATCAGAGTACAATATAACAAAATCATTAAGACAGTTCTGCGTCTTATTATTGCGCCAACGATATGATTCGCCATGAAAAATCAAAGAAGAGTCATTAACGTTCCTTTAACTCAGTGGTCCCTAATCTCAACTCACTAACGAATCCTTATTTTTCATTCTTCTAATTTTTATCACTTATTGATTTTAACATAATCATCTACATTCTTACAGGATAATCCTCTGTTCATTTGATTCAAAGGCAATTTCTGTGTTATTTGAATAACAAGAAAGGAAGAATAATCTCTTTCTCGCTTTCTTCGTTGAAAATTTCAATTCACTATTCCATAATCAATTCACGACGACCGTATTATTAATTTTAATTTTTTTCTTTTTCAGAAGGAAAAGTTCAAAAAAAAATCACATCTCTCAAAAATAAGTTTTCTCTCGTTGATTTCCCCTTGTATCGAGAAGAATACGTTCAAAGTATGGCAAAAACTCTGAGTATTGCGAAACTGTTGAAAAAAGAGAACTCTCTACGTCTAATCCGTTCCCCCTCTTCCCTGATGCAAATCACGATTCCGTAACGTCACGCTGGCTTCGGTATGCGATACGGCCGATTAAACCTTGTTCCAGCGGGTTGGTCGCGGCGATTTGTCATTGGCCGCGCGAGCGACATGCGAAATACGCATTTAAGGGATCGAGCGCCACGGGTAGGTGAAGCTTTATCCCTATCCTCGTTACAAATAACTCCCCGCGTGATGCATTCGGTATTCGAGTTCAGCGGGGTGGCTCCCCTGTCCACTGGACGGCCGCTCGGCTTTTATAATATCAGCCGCGCGGTTTTTCTGCCCGCGGAAATTACGATCCGCGCGGCCGCTCACCGGCCCCCACCGAACTATTTACGAGAACGTGGGGGCGGTAGGTAACGAGACGTCGCGACGTGAATACCCAACCTTTGTGTCAAGACGCATCTTGTTTCTCATACAGAGGTTCTGAAAATCCTTTTAATCGATTCCCAACACCTCGTGTGACAGATCGTGTGCGCGTGATAGAGGAGTGGTGGAGCGTGAGAATGTATTTACGAGGTATAATCGTTGGGCAGAACTTCTCCTGGAATTATTACAGTTGGCTTCTCCGCAATGTGAGAGAATTTTGGAAATTTCCTTTCGAATTTGGAAAGTGTGTTTTGAATTAAGGGATAAAGTAATAATAATATGGTATGTATCCTACGTGTAATTAAGGATTATTATTTTTCGTTAAATATAATTTAATTTTAGATTAAATCGGGGTAGTGAAGATATTGAAGTGAAAAATAAATATTAATAATTTCACGAGATTGATTGAATACCATAAAATGGTTATGATTATTTTTACACTTGAGAATAAGAGGAAAATATTAGAGAATATGGAAGTAAAATTTCGTAAAGGTATTTTAATAGTATTTGAAATTTTAACGAGGTACGTATACGTGTAAAATTTATATCTCGTAACATCCAGTTGAAATATATATTGAGACGTCGACTGCTCGTTTCTTATGATTTCTTATTGTAAGCCGTTGTGGCCATTTGTAACATCACGCGGTAAAATCTAACCAAGTGAGATGTATCCCAGAAATGTGAAACTTGAAACTCGAATATCTTACAGCCTTGTTTCCACGCTTACTAAACCTTATGCTTGTTCTATCAGAATTACATTCTATTTTCTTCCAGAGAATACCTTCCCCAAACTAGTGGAAAGCTGTTTCGATATTCCTGAGATGTAAATTCCGTCCATCTTTATCTTATTACCTTTAAACTAAACTAAAAGTGAGAAAATTTTGAAATCAAGGAAAAAAAATAGAATAGAATAGATAAAAGACAAAAACAAATATTATAAGAGTAGAATAATATCACTGAACGTTCAAGAAAGTAATAATATCTTAAGTAATTTATCAAACTCTTTCACTAATTTTCAACCCCTATAAAAATACATTACAATATGTTTAAAGATACAATAAATTTTTATATTATCCTTCAAATACTTTTCCTGTCTCTTCCAAAGGAAAGAGAAAACTTTATTTAAATACAAATCCATAATAAAGCATATTCAAATTAAAATAAAATTAATTCGTTCAGGAGATTGGAGATAATCGGTGTTGGAGCTCGATGCATCTTCCCTCGAAATGGTTACATTCTACGTTCATTCTCGAGTGCATTTTGCCCGTGTATAAATACAAGGGCTACAAATAGCTCATGGCATCGTATAATGTAAACTCATGGAAAACTAAACGCCCACGATTCGATGCATGAAGAATGAGAAGGAGAAATAATAACTGGTGGAATACCATATTTTACAGAATCGTGTGACTCCCAACTAATATCACGCCATTTGCTCGTACAAATTAATGCATGTTATACCTAGACATGGTTATTGTTTATAATACAAGGGAATGCGCTCTGTTTTAATGCATTTCCACGTGCTTGTGTATATACCTTGATGTGTATACCTTGCAGGCAAATGATGCCATTAATTATGCGTAATTATGCACCATCATAGCGTGACATCAAACCTGTGGAATGTTGTCATTTGAAACATTATTTCTAATATCTGTGAACGCTTTTGAAATTATTCGAAACACTGTTATCGTACAAACTATAATATTACATTTAAAATCTGTTTCAGGATTATTACTTTCAACAAATAGGTTTTTCCATTGTCAAAAACGACGATTAAAGATGTTATTCCAAATCTGGACGATATTTCGATTGAACAACACTCGATATTTCTCACTATTTTAATTTCAGATAAGATTTTCTCGAATGAAAACGATACGCAGTTTACGACATCTCTTTTCTGAATCACTTGACACACTCTTGCCACGTGACAGCAATAACATCTCTGCAAGAACCGTTCCAATGGATTTATGTAATAATAGAATGTTTTTCCTAACAGTTTCTCAAGCAAACTGTTACATAGAGAGACGCGAAGCTCATGAAACTGGATCGAAACAATTAATAACTTATTGATACGGATCTATCTGAATAATATTTCGGAAAATATATTTCACAAATTAAATTAATTAAAAAATTTATTATTTCCGCGTTGGAGAGAGGAAACATGGATTGCAGCTAACAGCATTACGCGATAAGTGCGTTTACTAGAATGATTCACACAAGGCTGATAACGCTAAACACGTAACAATGTAAACGTGACAAGTAAATATAGCTGCTAAGACGGTGTCTTGACACGCTGTAGATAATGCACAATTAATTTCGACAAATAAAATAAATTGCCGTTTTAGAATCAATTTGTGTGTATCTATAATGTCTAAGTAATTTTAGTTGTTTTAACGACGCGCCATTATTGATTATATCGGTCGGCGTGTATTTCAAATCATTCACACAAAGTTAAAAATGTTGATTTTCGAAATTGAGTAAATGTTTCGCATTTTTTCCGATTGAAATGAAAACTTTTGCAATGAAATAACCAACCAACAGCCATGACGAATTTAAACAGCTACATACATACTGCTAATTATACGTTAATCGTAGTTTGCTTTGTTGTGTAAAAATTTTACGATATAACAGAGATTGAAAAATTTACGGAAAATTATTTCAAATGTATGTATAAATTTCAGGATGGAATATTACGAAAAATATTATGGGATATTTATAAAAATGAATGAGGAAAAAGCAATAAAGGTAAATAATTGAAAAAAAAATACAAATTTGTGAAAAATTAAGACAGCTTGCTTGAAGAAGATATAATTTATAATTTTAATATATAATCTATTTTTATTAACAGTCAAATCAACGTGCTTTGCATTTGCACTTTTTATAATATATCTCTTTCCTAATTTTCTACCCTCCTCTCCCAAAAATTATTTAAATATCGATCATAAAAATTTAATTCTTCTCAAAAAAATTTCAATAAGACTTGTAAATTTTATAAATTATAGATAAGTACCGTAACTCGTGAAAAGAATAACAGGAACAGTATTGGCTGTTCGTCTTTTGTTTCGATCACGGCTATTGAAAATGTCTGTGGATAAATCACATGCAAGTGATAAAATATCGCACGTGTTATCGTTCATCGGCCAATGCTTTATTTTCATTCCGATGTACCCTGATCTCGCGAGGAGCGGAAGCATCTTGAATACTGTATACCACGAGTTCATCTCTCTGTAAGATATTCATCATTCTCTACTTGCTCAGTCTTTACCGGATACCATTTATCTCTTCGAGGCAAAAAAGTATTTGAAGAGAAAGAAAGAAAGAAAGAAAGAAAGAAAGAAAGAAAGAAAGAAAGAAAGAAAAAAAGGATTCCCTTGCATACTAGATCTCAAATCAAACAGATTGAACGTAAATAATCGAGATAATGGAAGCACGGGAATATCATTAAAAAAAATATGATGCGAAACGTGCGAGAATCGGACATTTTTTTTTTCCCCCTTTTGAAATTCGAAAGGGTATGATCGAGAGAGAATTAAAAATTAAAAATCGTATGATAAATTGATAGTTCGAATTCGAGACAAGTTTAAACGAGCCAAATTTAATTGATTCTAAATTCTAAAGTTTGATCGACGTTTCGAAATTCACAAAAGCATTTAATATTGAATCCTTTCGAGACTAACGGGACAATATCATACATGTGTACATTCGTCCATAAATCACCGAGCATGATAGACGTTTAGAATAAAGATAGATGAACGTTGTAATTATAAAACTTGAACTTATGTAATAATTATCGAATGTTTTGAAGATTTTATTGAAAATCTGTTTTAATGAATATCGTCATTAACAAAATTAACGCAAGTGTCAAAATTGCTGGATTCTAATTTATCTACATCGTTGAAAACTTATAAATTCGTAAGATCCTATTATAAAAATGAAATTCCAAGTATATAAATGAAATTAATTAAACTTATTTCGTTTCTTTTTTTTTTTTTTTTATTGTTAAAAAGAAAAATCTTTTCGATATTGAAAAATAAAAATATCAAACATAGTATAGATTTATTCTATTGCGTTATATTACAAGAAATCCTGTTGTAAAATATTATAATTTTAAAAATTCTCAATTCCTTCATGTACCATCTACTTCTTTAGAAATGAATTTATAAAGTGTTTCAACGAAATAAAATGAACGATACAATCATTTCTCTGTTTCCACGAGAACGAATAAATCACGAAAATTCGAAGGTTTGATAATAGATGCATGCACGGTCGAAATGTAAGATGAAACGTGACTCGTGTGCATGACATTCTTCGAGTGCTCATAAAGCATTCTCCACCGTATGGCTACCGCGTCGTAACTCGCTCCGCTTCCTAGGTATTGTTGCCTTACCGAAGGATTCTTGAATCTTGGCTCGTGTACAAAGCGACTACGGAAGGAACGTTCCAACCAACTTCTTGCGCACCACTTCTGCTATAGACGAACAACAATGTGGTTGATGCTGCTAGACGGTCAAGACCATCGTTCCGTAACCATGCAAAAATTTCTCGAAGCGCCGAGGAATTTTTCGTTAAAATCGAGCGTCCATGTACTTTTACTTCTTTAATATATTTTTCAAAATTTTTCAAAATTGTTTCACGAAATAAATTTAATGAAAAAGGAAAAATGGTGGAAATATTAATCTCCAATTGTGAATTTTATTTTGGTATTATTTAAAGTGTCAACAGATAAATACTCGGTACGAGATTTTAGAGAAAAGTTTTTAATTTTAAAGTAAGTTAAAAAAAAATATCTTGTGAATATCTTACAAATCGATATCTATCTTTTACTTAAATTCTTATTTTCAAGAAAATCAAATTTAAACTTGACGACTTTTCTTAATTAATAATAAATTAATTTTATTCTATTGTTTTTTGAATTGTCTTTTTTAGATTAACAAGACAAGCCTATCAAAAGTATTAATCTTTAATAATTTTTTAATAATGCAAATTAGAATAGGATAAGATTGATGAATAAAATAAAAAAAGCATTGTTTAAATTGAAAGGAGAAAATTCATTCTAATAGATATGATGGAAAGGCACAAATATATACACGTTCACTGAAAGGAAGCACAAATCGAAGGTATTTGACCATGAACAGGTGAGAGGATTACGTGGCTTCTATGTTACACTCGCTTTGTTGAGATTTGTTAGTGGCGTCGGTCTAGCATAATGCAGCTAATTAGGATGCTAGACTTTTGTGTTTTGTTCGAATTTGTTTGATGTTTATTTCGAAAAGTAAATTCCACTGAGATAATTGAATGTTAATCTTATCGTCTTTGTTATCAAGTCTCTTTGATGACTTTAAACAATGATTAAAAAAAAACTCCTTAAAGTTTCTATTTAAACTCTTGATTTAATTTCACTTGGATGCATTTAACTATTAAATTTACATGTTCAAAAATTTAATTGATTTAACTAACATTAACACGATGTTAATTCTAATTGTCAAATAATTTTGTAAGAAAAATTTCACAAATGACAAATCAAATGATTAATAGTCGTTTGCAACAAATTTCATTAATAATGCTTAATAATATAGAACACTGTTTGATGATTGAGCCAGTCGCCAATAATAATTCAATCATGCAAGAGAATACAGGGAATACGTTAATTGCAGTGTATACAAATTTTTTTCACATTTTTATCGAGCGCAATGAAACAGAATAAGACATAAAAATGAATTACGTAAAATCGTTCGATTTCGACTTCCGGAACTATGTCAGATTAACTGTAACTTGAAAGCGGCTCATAAACTGGCGGTAATTTATTTGACGCAATTAAACTCCAACGGTTTTAAATACATGGAAAGAAACGTCTCAAATGTGCAACAGGGACAACGAGCAGTGACGTTAAACGTTATAAAAGCATTCGACTGAAAGACGTGAAATATTATACGTATAAAAATACCCTGGTTCGTCAACCGTAAACGATGATTATTCCGCATTTTCGAACCGTTCCACGTTCCTAAAGCTCTTGAATCATTCTGCCCAATTTCTTTAGAAAAAAAAAAAAAAAAAAAANNNAAAAAAAAAAAAAAAAAAATTCCTGAATTAATTAACTAATCACGAATTCGAATTCACAGAAATCCGTCGATGAAATAATTAAACGTTCGACTCTAAACGAACATCCATATTTTAATCGAAATATATTCTTAGTAGAAAGATTTACTTGCGATATGTTAAAGTTGAAAAGCTATTCAATTGATAGAAAATAATATAAAATAATATACTAAATTCCTATAAAAAATATATCACCTTCGATCACAAAAGAAAAAGAGAGAAGGAAAAATCTCTACAACATTTCATCGAGGAACAAAACTCAACAATTTACATGAAGCAATTTACGTCTAACTTCGATCGAAACGAGATCGAAAAGAATAAAATGCAACAAGAAACATTGACCTCTCTTGACGCCAAGGAAAACTTTATTTCTATGGCGTATTGGATCGTGTATTCAGGTGGCAAAAGAATAATAAAGTCGAACTCACGTTGCAGAGTTGCGCCTAGGCTATTGACATATTTTACCGCGGAACTATTCAGCCGCTGAGATTCCGTGGCGAGTGGAGAAAAAGTAGGTAGGTTGAACGGTGTCGGCGAGTGGATTAGCCGATCTCGTTTCCAACCGTATGGTATTCCAGAATTCACTAAGCCACTTGGCTCAACGAGACCGGTTGACGAGGGCAAGAAGTTAACTGGCCGTTGCGATCTTAACGACCGTCACTTTATTAAAACTCGGGAATACACGCTGTCAGCAATTAACGTCCCGCGTACATAACACCTTTCACGATCGGCTTTGACTTGTCAGAGGGGGATCGTCGATCGCCGCGTGTAGCGCATCGGCGTGCAACATTTTTCGCCCGGAATATGCAACCGATGCAATTTGCTGCGCGCTCTCGATCGATATGGATGAGTGGAAAGCCGAAATGAATTCTTGTCGGAAGTAGTTTAAAAAATTATTCTTGACATTTTGACAATTTGTTAAAAAAGAGAGATTTTAACGCGTATTTCATTTCTTTGTTTAATTCTCAAGTTGCATATCTATGTATTTTATGTATGTATGTATCTATGTATGTATCTATGTATTATTTTATAATTTTGGAAATAAGGAAAAAAGATGAGGATCGTTGAATATTTCGTTATTCGTGGAAAAAGAGAGACTTTGAATTTGAATTTACATTCAAGATTAATCAAGTGATCGAAGCGAATATAATTGATTGTGATAATTTTGAAATTTTACAACTTAATTTAATTTATATCTCTTTGAAAATTAAGTCGAAAATCTTGGAATATTAAAATCAAGGTTAACATAATTCACGATACTCCACTGTTTCTACACTGTTATTACGCGAATATTTTTTTCTTATAAATTCTTGTTACAAGCCAAACAATATATCCGTTTCCACGTATAACGTGAAAATTAGGTGCTCATTAAACGACAAGAAAATTAAATCACACACGATCTATCATTAATATCGCTTACCACAACTATTCACGTTCATCGTCTACCGTTACTGAAACTAATAATAATACGTATTGTGCTGGGACGTGTTACAACATTACGCCTAATAAAGGATAGCTCATTAATAAATAAATGAATGATTCACTGGATGTTTAAGAAAATTGGTTTGCAATAAAAAAAAACTGTTCACGACTTTGGAATAACGTTACCTTGATAGCTTACGAACGGCATCGCAAATTTTACGAGGATTTCTTAATGGTACTTTAAAACAAGGCAGACACCCGTGAACCGAATGACCCGTTTTAGTCGCCAGTTAAAAAATATTTTCTACGCGATACCTTAACCAAGAAGCGTGAAAATACGAAATATGAGGTTTCGATACCCGAATTTTTATTAGAATCGAAATATTCGATGAATCATTTTCTAAAATCGATAGACAAATGTTTGATGCCAAAGTTACGCGGGAAATAAAAATTTTCCAATAAAGTATAAATATTTAAAAAATGCTTAATAATTCGATTTGCAGTCTGAATTGAATCAAAATGAATGAAAAGAAAATTGGCTGGATTTAAGGAAGCGTGAAATAGGAAAAAAGCGATGTTGACTTTTAATGGAAAGAAAAAAAAGAAGAAAAAGTAGAAATCAGAAATCGCATAAATTCTTGCAAATTGCACGCATTGACCTAAAACTACACGATATAAAATTATAAACAAAGTCCGATAAATATGTATCCATGTGATCAATTATAAATAATTACAATCAATCAAGAGAGTTAAAATCTTTCTTAGTTTCGACCAGAAATTCCATTGTGGAATTGCATCTATAACGTTCCATAATTATACAACACGTCTCGTTTTGTTACATCGTTACAAAACCAAGAGTCAGAATGTTTTCCACGAAGAACGAGGATATGAGCCCAGCGAAAACCCATACTCGCGATTTTATCTCCTCTTAACACCCCTTAGTTTTAAGGAACGCTCCTTTAGAGAGAAACGATCTTGCGGACCGAGGTCACGCACGCCTTCCGTTTTTGCTCTGTGTTCAATTCCAGAAATAAGAAGTAACGATTAAAAGGAAGGAAATGAGTGGAAGCGCAGAGAGAAATTTATAGTAATTCGCAACGCGTGCAAAGCGCATTTCGACATTACGAAGGCGTATGACTTGGTGATTTCAACGACGATACCTGCATATGCGTGTCTATGGAGTTATCCAAGATATCTGCACAATTTTTCTTTCACTAAATAATATTTTCTCGTCTTTATTGGCGTGAATCTCTCTGGAAAAATCGTTTGGGAACTTCGTCTGTGTATCTGTACACGCTTATTCGTATTCGTAAATATCACTCATAAATATTATTTTTTAAAATTTGAATTTTAAGAGAGAATTAAAAAAAAAATGAAATTGAAGATAATACAACAAGAATTTAATAAAAATGAAACCTGAAATAATATTGCGAAAACTTGAAGTTTAAGTTAAGTAGAAATTTTTGTTACAAAGTATGAATAAATTTATGTATAAATAATTCAAACCAAGTTTCAAATTCTTTGCATAATCTAAAATATATAATACATGTGTATCCATATACACATAATGCATAAAACTAAAAGCTAATTAATGATTCTTTGCATAAATCACGAAAGACAAATAATGTGGTACACAACATTCCATTATATCTAGTATCTGAACTAAATAAGTAATCACTTTCACATACGTATTTAAGATAAATGCTATTACGTTGCATTCGATTCTTCATTTTACAATAAACAAGAATATATTATATCTATATCTGGTAAACAAATTCCATTCCCAAATTATTATATTATTATTATATTATCTTCATTCCTATATCGTTCCTTTATGATTTCGACATTTTATAATCGATAAATTAAAACATAATTCATAAAATTCCAAAAAAAGAAGTGAAGGAAATATTAATTCGTCAAGATCGCAAAGAATTGTTATTTATTACATTAACATTCCATACAACATTTCTCTTTAACGCAACTCATACTATACTCTCTCGACCAATATTGTCCTCTCGTAATCTTAGACGCACAATACTAAAAATATTACGAAAAATGCATACTTGGAATCCTTCGTCTCGACG